AGACAGCTTCTTCTTCGTAGACTAGCTCATAAGGTGAATGCCCGGTGCTAGCTTTTACTGTAACTCGGTCAGCGAAGCTGTCAAGCTCGGATCCCGTCCCCCCCTCGCAACGCGCCGCCGCTGCAACCAGAAGAAGCAAGCAAGCAAGCAGTTACAGTAATTGATCAGGCAAGCAATCGCGGCGGGCATCAGACTAGTGAAACGGCCTTCACAGGTGACGTCCTCTGACGCACGAACGGGCGAGGCAAGGGAAGGTAAGCCAGGCGTTGCGGGGGTGGCGGTCGCGGCGCTGCCACCCGTGCCTCATCACCCCTTGCAGTGTCCTGCCGGCACCAGCACCAGCACCAGCATCAGCACCAGCATCAGCGCAGCGTAGCGTCGTGTAGCGTAGCGTAGCGTCCTGGTGCCGTTGGAACGTGCCGGCATGCATGCAATGCAGTCGCCGACGAGATCAGGACGAAACAGACGGTGTTTTGAGGGGCGCTCGTTTGCACTGCCTCGCCTGCACCGCTGCCTCCCTCCACTGAGTAGCAGGTGGGAGGAGTCCTTGCCGGCACCTGGAAGACTCACCTGTCACTCGGGCCGGTGGTGGTTCTCGAGAGGCTCAGCAGCTGCGGCGGTTGTTGCCGATTCAAGCAGCTCAGCGGCAGCTGCGAACATAGCGATTGGCGTGACGGCGTGACGGGGCGACGGGGTGACGGCGTGGCACTAATGCACCGCTGCCCGGACCGATCGCGGCGCTGCGCCGTCTCAGCTATGCGCCCTGGGCGACTGCAGTTCGCATCGCCATGTCGACGACGAACCGACAGCGACAGCGCAGCGAGATGAAGGGAGGAGGCGGCAGTGGGTGCACGACGACGCGCAAGACTCGGCAAAAACAGCGCGACAAGGGCAGGATTCGAACCTACGATCACGAATGAACAGCATCGCTCGGACTGTGAGAATTCAGGTGCTGCGCCTTAACCACTCGGCCACCTTGCCAAGCAGGTCCGGATTCACCGGCCGCCAGGGTCCCGGCGGCGGGTACTATAGGGCGTCGCTGCGACGCTTTGCGAGTTCGATTGGAGGCGAGAAGGCGTTGGCGGTGCTCGATGGTGAGGATGGCATGCGACATGCCTGGAGGGACGCGGCAATGCTGGCGCCTCGAACTGAGGGGGACTCGAAAGGCTGCTCAGCCGCAAGCGATCGCGCTATACAGGAAAGCGTCGGACCAGCAATGCTCTGAGGACCGCAGGAGACCAATTGAACGCGCCGTCGGGCGCTGGGCCTACAAGCAGTGCTATGCTTCCGATGCTGAGGTGCAAACGGCAATCTCAGCAAATGTCCGCTGCCACGCGACAGCAATCTGGGTGTGAAGTTACTTGAGCAGCGAGCACCTCCACTGCCCTCCCCGCCTGCATTGCTGCCCCTGACCACCGGCGTGGCCGCCGCGGTGCCAGTCCGGCCGTAACCACATAGCCGAGAGCTGGCGCGTCGCGAAGCTTCGAAGCTCTCCGTCACGGCTGTCGCCGTGCCTCAGCATCCCGCTAGACGTTAGTGATGAGGGGCCTAGACGTGCTGATCAGTCAGCAGCAGTGGCCGAGCAGTGGTCGGTGAAGAGGAGCACGACAGCTTGGCAGGTGAGTGTTGCCAACGTCGCACGCCTTGCGCGGGAGCGATTTCTGCATATATGTATGTATGCCATGGACAGACACCCACTGACTGGCGGACAGGCACCAGGGGCGCCCCATTGACGAAGCAATCGTCCCGCAACGTCCAGCCGCGCCCGAGAACCACCACCACCATGTCCCCCGCAGCAGCAACGATGAAGGAAGTCACCGTCGCCGTCGAGAACGGGAAGGTCACGCAGACCACCGCCGACGTGCCGATCCCTCAGCCGAAGCCGACCGAGGTGCTCGTCAGGGTCGTGGCCGTCGGGCTCAACCCCAAGGACTGGAAGTTCGCGAACGGGCTGAACCAGGGCGACGACATTGCCGGCTACGTCGAGGCTGTGGGCAGCGACGTGCGCGCGTTCAGGCCGGGCGACAGGGTCTTTGCGTACCATGACATGCTGGAGCCGCACGGCGGGTACGCCCAGTACGCGATCGTCGAGGAGGAGTTCACGGCCCACCTGCCTGAGAAGGTCTCGTTCGAGGGTGAGTCCGCATCTCTCCTCGCCATTTCCCTTTGTCCAGTCCATTGCATTGCTAACACGACTCCAACAGAGGCGGCCACGATCCCCCTGCCGGCGCTGACGGCCGCGCTGGGCCTGTACCAGGAGCTCGACCTGCCTCTGCCGTGGAAGCCCGCGCGGCAGCCCACGCCGCTGCTCGTCTACGGCGCCGGCACCACCGTCGCGACGTACGCGCTGCAGTTCGCGCGGCTAGCGAACATCCACCCCATCATCGCGGTCGCGGGCCGCAGCGCGCCGCACGTCGCCGCGACCTACCTCGACGCCAGCAAGGGCGACGCGGTGGTGGACTACCGCGCGGGGCCGGAGACGACCGTCGCCGCGATCGCGGCGGCGCTGCGCGCGGCGGGCCAGCCGCCGGCCGCGCTGCTGCACGCGCTCGACACGATCGGCTCGGCGGACTCGGCGCGCATCGTCGATGCGGTCGTCGACGCCGAGCGCGGCGCCGCCGCCGTGACGGACATGGTCGTCTCGAAGGGCCCGCTGGCGTGGCGGTCCATCTTCGTCAAGGCCGTGCACACCGACGCGAACGGGCTGGCCGAGAACACGCCCCTCGGCACCGTCGGGTACCGCGAGTTCGGCGTCGCGTTCTGGAACTTCGTCGCCCGCGGGCTCAGGGCCGGCTGGTTCGCGGGCCACCGGCACAGGGTCGTGCCTGGTGGGCTCGACGGCATCGCTGGCGCGCTCGACGAGATGATGGCGTGGAGCGTCTCGGCGTTCAGGTATGTGGTGCGCATCGAGGATACCCCGGCTCTGAAGGGGGAGCGGGGGAAGATGTAGGCTGTGCGTGCGTGGGTTGGCGGCATGCCCAGAGCTAGATTGAGGCGCGAGTGCCTGCCAGCAAGATATAGTCGCACAGCATATTTGATTGATCACGTTCCGAATCGAGAGTCAATGACTGGGGACAGTGACATGACGACGCTAGGTCGTGCCCTGAATTGCTGCTATCGGATAGCGACAAGCGCGTATGGTCAAGAACTGAGTGGAGTGGAACGGAAGTGGTATATGGCAAGACAAGAACAAGAAAGGCCGGAATCAATCTGCTGCAACCCGCTGCTCAGCGTATGAACAGCGAGATGCCACCGTCGCTGGAGTACTCGTTCTCCAACGACGCGCCGTCTCGGTCGAGTCCCGCCGCCAGATCGCTGAGCTCAATCGTCTCAGACACCGCCAGTCCGTCCTCCGTAGCAAGCCAGGGATTGGTCGAGGGCGAGTTGAGCAGGTCGTACCCTGCGATCGAGTAGTCGGGGGTGTCCCACCCAGCCGACGAGGAGCTCGGAGTCCGCCACGGACCACCTGCACGGCCGCCACCGCCACTGTCGGCAGAAGAGGACGTCTCCGTCAGGCCCGGCAGGCTGCCGCCCCAGCCCTGCTCGCGGGCGTCGTCGTAGCCGAACGCGTCCCTCTCGGACGGCGACCCGCACGTGTCGCACCTGCTCGGCGCGAACGGGAACTGCAGTGCCACGTCCGAGCCGTTGCTCGCCTCGAAGTCCTCGTCCTGGCCAATGACCCCGCGCACGACGCCGATGTCCGTGCACAGGCGCTCGACGAGCTCCCGCTCGTACCCGGGGAAGCAGACGCGCAGCGTCGTGCCGTTGACCATGGTGATGGGCAGGTCGCCCAGGGCTGACAGCCGCTTCACGTCCGCGTGGACCATCTCGAGCTCTCGCGCGGCCCGCGCGAAGTCGGCGGACAGCACGCCCATCAGATTCTCCGTGTTCAGCGTGAGCGTGGCTGGGGTAGTGGGCGGCAGATCGCTGCCGAGGGCAGTGAGGCTGGGAGCCAGGTTGAAGTCGATGTACGATCCCGCACGGCACTGGCGCTGCTCAGCAGCAGCCCTTCTGCGTCTCGCAGCCTCGCGCTCGCGCTCGCGCTCCCTCTCCCGCTGAGCCTCCACCCCGAGCCGCTTGAGCCTGATCTGCTCCTGCAGCGCGCTCGTCTTGAAGTTCGAGCCGGACAGCCAGAACGCCCGCATCCCCGCAGACACGTTGCTGATGACCTCTGCAGGGCGTGCTGCACCGTGACAGAACCCGCGCGCGCGGCCGGCACTCCCGCCGAAGGCGTAGCCGCCCGCGGTCCTGGGCAGCGCACCGCCAGTCAGGTTGGGTCTCAGCGGCGAGGCGAGCGGCCGCGCGAACGCTGCGCGCGCGGCCCTGCCTGCTGCTGCTGCTGCGCTACCACCGCCACTGCCGCGTGCGGTGGTTGCTGCTGCTGCTGCTGCTGAGCTACGCAGGGAGGAGAAGAGACGGCGCTGCAGCTGCTTCGCGTGCAGCGCGCGGTTGAACCCCTGCTGCCGGGGGATGTACTCGTAGATGGGCTGTAGCTGGGCCGCGAGTATCGGCAAGACTGCAGTCATACAGCAACTTGCAACGCTACTGAATCACCGCCTGGTTGTGGTCAACCTGTCGCAG